AATGTTATGATGAAGTAATAAAACTAAAATAAGTGTAATATAAATATATTTTTTTTGAAATTGTACTTATAACCTATACGGAGTACCTTAACATTGAGTAAGTAAGGAATTAACAGCGCAAAATGTATTTTTCATATATATCTATAGGAACGAATAGTCTCCATAGTAATGTATGTTTTAATTTAATACTAACATTAACAGGCCATGGTTATCGGATGCAGATATTATCGTAACGTCCTCGACGTTTCTAATCTTGTTCCATTACGTCTGAATGGCACTGTGATTCCATTCACTGATTCTGCAAAGAACTTGGGAGTGCATATCGACTCAAAGTTGTCCTGGACTGTCCAGGTGAACGAGATTAGTCGGAAGGTTTATTTCTCCATTCATTCCCTGAGGCGCCTCCAGACCCTGTTGCTTGTGAAGACTAAGATTCACATCGTCCAAGCGCTAATCCTGTCTCTGATTGACTACGCGGATGCCTGCTATTTGGATGCTACAGAGGAGTTTTTAATAAACTTGAGCGATTGCAAAATGTTTGTATCCGCTTTGTCTTTGGTTTAAGAAAGTACGACCATGTTTCCGTATTCTGCAATAGGCTGAAGTGGCTTCCGATCCGTCTTCGCAGGAACACTCGCATTTTATGCTTCCTATATAACATCCTCCTCAACCCTGTCTATCCTGCTTACCTTCGAGACCGTTTCTCCTTGGTTCGTCCTCCTGAAGTCCTATCTCGTTCACTCCTTAAATCTTAAAATCGAACCCCATAATACCGATTTCTATTCCTACTCCTTTTCCGTTCATGCAGTGAGATTGTGGAATGCGCTCCCGCCTAACATTAGGGACGCTGAGTCTATCGCTACCTTTCTCGTTTCCTCTACTACCTTTTCACTACCTTTCCTCCTGATATGTAAATTTCTTCATTTATATGTATAATTTAAAATGTGTGTGTATTTATTTATATATTGTATGCAGTTGTTAGGTTATTTATCTGTTTAGTTTTAAGTCTGTTTCCTATCCCAATTTTCTATTTGTTACTACACACTGTGTCACTATATTATTATTGCTTTTCCTGCTCCAGGTCCACAGGAAGAAATTCCAATAGGAATAGGTGGTACCTTTGTACTTTATGTATGTGTTGTCCTTTATGTTGTATGTGTGTACATAAATAAATAATAAATAAAATAAATAAATAAACATTCTTTCTATTACATTATTATTAATTTATAGTTTTAATTGAGTAAATCAATCTATATCAACTACATCACATCATATACAATCTTCATCATCTATATTCTACATTTTCACACTAAACATACATACTTAGTCACTATAACACCGTTGTCATTTTGTCACAATTTAAATAACATGAATTATTTCTATAACTTCGTAGATATAATGTTTGGCCCCGTAGCTGTTTCAACGTTATCTTCTTTAAATTGTGCAGTTTTGTAGGAATCGACTTGAGCGATTGTGTCAAACATTGGCAAGTTTTTGGTCTCTGGCGTGAATGTTAACAGGAGCGCAGCCATTACAGCACCTGATGAAAACAGGAATGACGGGAGCGCTGGTATTTCAGTTATCTGGGATTTGAAAAAAGACAGGAATTAAAACAAATCATGAAAGAGAAATCGATTTTATCTTTCTTCTAAAGTCCCCCAATGAACACTCCGGTCACTTAAAAGTCAAAAATCGAAAAATATGTCAGCTAGACTTTGTATAGCGAAGTCTATATCTTAGAACTCTATGAATAATTTAGGATTTCACCAGTGCTCAGTGCTCTCACTAATTCGACCAAAAGAGAGATACCTACAGAATTACAAATTGAGTTCGCTGTTCGATTTTAGGTTTGGATATGCGTCATCACAACGAAGTGAAATAATTTAAAATGGTTATAACATTATTCGTAGGAATAGATAATATGGAAATGAAAAACTAGGTTACTTGCATTATAGTTAATTTATATGCATTTAGAAACCGTATAAATAGTGATATCGTATTCTACTTTTACAGGCTTGTTACAATTAATAGGCTGGCAATACATTTTGTAGTAGGTAGGTACATATTTGTAAATGTGGCGAATAGTTTAAGATGTGCTAGCCTAGCCTTTAGTAGGCCAGTGAGTAATAAGCTGATGCGGCCAGCTAAAAAACTCTTTAAATCGACCTCATTTAAATAATCAAAGGGCATTGACTAAAATTGGTGCCTTTCTTTTTTTTTGGCGGCAGTCGGTGATTTATGGAAAATATTATCTAGAATGAGATTACAAACGAAATTGTCTATGGGCTCATATATGGAAATCTCAGTCTGGACAGAGTTATTAGCGTTGAAAGGAGCTGGAGTCGAACATTTTAACATAACATCACGCCTTTTATCCCGAAGGGGTAGGCAGAGGTGCACATTATGCCACTGTACCTACAATGTAACACCCACTTTTCACTATTTATGTTACGAGTCTCACGTAATAGGGGGTGAGCCTATTGCCATATACCGGGCACAATTCTAGACTCCGTGCTACTACTGAGTTTTTTTTAAAACCCAGTAATACTTTGCCCGACCCGGGAATCGAACCCGAGACCCCTTGTTCGGCAGTCGCACTTGCGACCACTCGGCCAATGAGGCAGTTATTCATATTTTTGTCACAATCCCTATCTTCAAATTGCGTGCCACTGTACGCCAGGTACAGGAACACCATATTACACCACAATATATCCATATTGCCGGGCACAAATTTTTATTACTTATTTTCTCTCAGTCGATAACTTGTAGGATGCTTCTAGGAGTTGTGCCATGAAGCTTCATGAGCGTCAGATGTGGTACCAGTGGTGGATTGAGTAGTGGTAGCCGTCCAAACATCTAATAAAGTATTCTTTTTTACCGTTGACTTCTGGTGAGAGACCCATCTACTTTACCTCTATAGTCAACATAATCTTTTGAAGAAAGGAAACCGTCGACTTTGTAAAGTGATGGACTACACGTCCGATGGACTAAATAATGAGATCAGTAGAAATATAATCTATCACCTTCTGACTGAATGACGATATTTTTGTACAGAATCTTATGCTAGCTGTAGATTAGAGTATTAATTTGTAGTTAGATTAGTTACTAATCGGGACTACTTAAGTCGGGAGAAGGAGACAGAAAAATGATTTTTTAGTTTTTTGACGACTGCCACTACTCAATCCGCTATTGACGCCGCAGCTGACAAACATAACATTTCATGATAGGGCTGAGTAAAGTATTTAGCAGGTTTTTGACTGAGAGGAAATTGATCATGAAAATCTATTATAAGCCATAAACCGTATACATATAAAGCGAACGCGCTGGCCAATCAAGCAAAATGTTTTTTTTTTACTTCAGCAGTAGTCAGTTAATAGTTCATTCAGTTCTAATTCCAAGGAATTAGAACTTTTTTACTTAATACTTGGGCTTTTTTAGTAAAAAAAAAACAAGTAAAAAAGCCCACAATAAGCTTGATTATATTCCTTGAAATCGTTTATAATCATTTATTACAAACTATTTCTGACAAGTAAATGAAGAAATATGCGTTGTATACGGTCATCATCAACAAAATAACAGGAATAATAGAGGTATAGCATTTTCACATCTTTGAATTGATTTAACTCGGTTTGGTATAAGGCCCAATATATTTTTTTGTTTGTAATGTTACTCTGCATCAGTTTTTCCATATCTGATCAACTGCCGCGAAAAAATGAAAAGGCACCACGCTCCATACAAATGTGGTCATTGTCATTTAATGTAAAGTGCGTCTCAGTTGAAGTAAGAATTTTATTTTATCGGTGATACCTATTAATTTATTCTTATTATCTTTTCAATTTATTTATCCCGAAGACCGTTCCGTCCCGTTAGGACAGGATAAACCTGGCTTGTGCATTAGCACAAGGCAGAGAGAGCTAATGCAGCTCTCTAATCACAATTTTATGAAAGAGTTGAGTAGAATATTTCTTATGCCCTTACCAATAAAGGTGTCAACGGTGCTAACATACTGCCAACCCTGGCAGCCGTGTTGCCCCAGCCAAGCAGGGTTCCTCTGACACTGGTAGGGAATAACTCCAGACTGTAGGTGTAAATACCAGTAAAGCAGATCACAACTCCAAGTTTTCCTATCAAGAATAATATCACCTTCAACCAAGTTAATGCTAAAAAGAAGAGTAATTACTTAAATTAAGTCATCGTAACATATGTTTTAAATAGATAAATAAGTAAGTGGTAATACTTACAAGATGGGCAGTAATTTTGGGCAATAAGAAATACTGCGGAAAGTAAATAACCACATTGCAAAGTTATTCTTCTTCCATACTTGTTAAATGTGTAATAAACGAGAATTTCTCCTGGGAATGCCGTAAATGCAGAGAAAATAAAATTGGTATATTTATTTCCAGGTAGCAGAACTACGTGAACTAAGGATCCATAGTACAAGAAACTAGAAGTGAAGAAGCTGAATGACAATACTGACAAACGGGTCATTA